CTAAGCAAACCTTCCAAACATCACCCTTACTTAGAATGTATATGATATCAACTTTCTGGAAGACTGCTGAGCAAAATTGGGCGCCTCCCCTACCACCAATTTTTATGTCCTTTAACCAGTAAAACCTACTCAGTATTCAAAGATAGTCACAATATTTATATGAAAGTTTTCTCATGTGAAGCATCATTTGCAGTCGTAAAAACTGGATATGTACTGAGCTTCTAACAATAGAGGACTGATGAAATAATGTATAAAGGAATGCTGTATAGCTCTTAAAAGTGCTGTTATAAAAAGAATTTAATGACATGGGAAAAGGCTCATGGGATTCTGCAAAGTGAAAAACAATGTTTGAATGGATTGTGTATACAGTGATTTCACTCTGAAAAATACTAAATAAATAAGATACAAGGATACACATTATAGTGTTACCAGCTCTCTGGGTAGTGTTTAAGCAGAAGACACACTTACTAGTGACTCATCATTTCCAGTGCATAATTTATAAAATTTCTACAATAAACACATTTAGTCTTAGACTTTCTTAGAAATTCAAACAACAGAGTATATAATCACAGAACTTTATAGCTGGAAGATGCCTTTTCTCTCTGTAATGTCTTATTGGCAATCTGGGTACCTTTCTGGATAAACTGACAAATAATTCAGGCTGAGCTAATCCTTGTTTTCTTTTGCCTGGACTCATCAGCTTAACACAAACTTGACAGTCAAAACTAAAGACAGTTTCTTAAGGACTTTATTGTGAATATACTTCTTCAAAATGGAAGCAAAATACTACCAGCCTCTTTCCTGTCATCCCTCTCCTTCCTTGGATTAAATAGAGGGACTGGCCAGAGAGTGGAATAGTTCCATTCCTTTCCCATCCCAACAAGCTAACTTACATTATGGTAAATAATTCACTATTTTGCAGTTATATAGTACCTTTGTGTAAAGGAGCAGTCTTTCCAAACACTTGTTAATACTAAGCATACTCTTGGGAATTAGATAAAAATTACTAGACAGGAAGGGAGAGAGGGTCATGTCAAAGGTAATAAAAGACATCAATGAAACAACAGATTTGTCTCAGTTTTCAGCAGGTCAAAATCTATGCAATACTATTCAAAATGAGGATCAATACTATGATGATATTGAAGAAAATTTTGATATAAGATTCCCTTGGGGTCTTATTTGTAGATTTTATAGTATTCTTTAGGAGCATAGACCATGTGACCAGACTACTGGATTCAATTTCTGACTCCACAGGTTAACAGTTATGTGATACTAGGTAAGTCATTTACTTTTCGGGGGGTTTAGTTTTCTCATTCACAAAAGGGGAAATCATAATAAAACCTACCACATATTGCTCAGTAAAGATTGAGATTAAATATGAAGTATGGAAAGCAGTTCCGTGAACAAGGTCATATCTTGATATCCGTTATCTATTATCAACAACTCTACAATAGAACACTATCTTAAAGGAATGCATTAAAAATTAAGAGATAAACACTTATGTCCTCATAATTCAACATAGAATTTTATAAACCAGTAGAAACAAAACAGAAAACTCTGGAAATCTCTACTGATGGGTTTGCCGATGTACTTTAAGCTTAGAAGTGATTACAAACTCACAAATAGAATTGTTTGTAGTCTCATGGATGAAGCCTCCAGGGTTTGCCAGTCTTTGTTTCAATGAGTAAGAGGGACAATGAAGTCTCTGTGTAACTTACTGAACAGACTGAGACAGAACCCTCACAATCCAAAACTTTACTTATTGACCTTGAGTGTTCATCCTATATTGAAGCCATGGGAAAACTGACATTGGTTTATTGTAGCAAATTGAAAACACTTTTACTTATTTGCTTTTTTATAGAATACTTGATACTGATGATTTACAAAATATAAAAGTATTCATAGGGAGTTCTGCTTGCTTCTACTGTTCATTTGACAAATATTTTTGAAAACAATCATAATCAAATTATTTTATTCTCACAAGTTCAATAAAAGATTGATTTTTTTTTCAGACATGGGCATCTGCTCTTTGGGCAGATACTGAATGGGGTGAAGATAATAGAGTCACAAGAGGAAGAAGAATGTATTCCAGATGAGTTTAATCCTTTTCTTTTCCAATAAAGTGAATATAAAAATGTCTTCTATTGCATTTGATGTTAACATTTCCTGATATAGTTCTGTTAACCTAAATGTACCTGAAAGGAGAACATTTAATGTTGAGTAGAAAATGATGTATTACCACATGATTACTTAGTTTTGCTTTGATCATTGGGGTAAAAGTCATCATGTGGGTCAGATGTTTGTCCTCTAATG